AAAAGTTTGACATCAAACAAAAAATATTAAGCATCTTCCATACCTTTGCAATTTGAACACACCAGTTGAGCAGCCTCTGTGGGCTGAGCTTGCCCTTATTTTTCTTTACGTGTGCCAGCAGCGAGCCTTGCCTGTTGAGCGGGATAACAAGTTGAAGGCTGTCACCGGGACAGATACCCAGGGTCCTGACAACGTTAATGTGGTTCAGACTTGCCATCGTCCTCATGTGCTGTAGCAACCGAATAAGTAGATCATTAGTGATTTAATTTAGTGTCAACAATCACCGAGATTTATGGTATTAAAGGAGGTGCTCCACAACAAAAAAATCTGTATAATCCATACTTTCAGTGTCAAATGCTCATCGCCTAGAAGCCTGGCATGTGGTTCTGCATAGGCAGTGAGTGATTGGTTCTGAAAATATATCTCTTTAGCACATTTCTTCTTTTTGTTATGTTTCTTACATCGGTCACTCCAGAGAATTTCCGACGACCACTGCGGTCATCAATCGTCTTAATGGCCACAGGAAGCTTCACTGTGTCGCCTTCAGGAATCCAAACGCCCTGTGAGGTGCAGAGAGACAGATTCATAATTTGTTAAATAGAAAGTAAAATGCACAAGAGGAGCATTTTATAGGAGTCTGTCTCTTCAAGTACCTTATGGACTGATCCAAACACTCCATTACCCAGCAGCCTGATCTTACGCAGCTCTGTAGGTTTAAGGGTCCGAGCTTCATATTTTGTCCCTTTATCTTCCAGGGGCTCAAAACTCTGCAGGCACACAGGGGCATGAATTATGACAAACCCAAAACAAGCACAGCGGCACAGTAACACTCGAATACAGATACTGACTTCGCTATTCATCATGTATCTTCTCATGGCGCGCTTGCGACGAATAGCGAGACTTCGGCGGTAGAGAATACTTAGCACGAAAATGGAGAAGGAAGCAAAGATGAGGGCAATCACTCCCAGTACGATAGCCGTGGTCATTTGCCTAAAGGCAGAGGAGAAAAGGGGCACAGTGTCAGCTCTTAATACTTGAATGTCAAAATTACATACAGCATATATCAGAATGAGAAGAGAACTTACCCTGAAATGTACCTAGATGATATTGTACAGTCCCCGATTCCTGGACCGGTGCACCTAAAAACAAAAAACCCAGGGGATCAGTTTAAAGAAGCAAATTGTGTGTGTCTAACTACATCATTCCACTTGTACTTACCTCTGGGTACAGTTGTTGTGGCAAGGTTTACAGTTGCCCTCCTTGTCTGGATATTTAAAGATGGTTCCCTCCTGCCCCATAACACCCTCAGGACACATGGAGACACAGTGTGGGCCATCTTTCAGGCTGGCACAAGCTAGACATTTATTTGCTCCCTGCAGACAAAAAAAAAGAGTGAATAAAAGCAGAAAGGTTTTTGCAAGAGTTGAAGGCGAGTGGCATTATGGTGGACAGCCATTTTTGTAAGGCCGCTAGGTGGCAGCAGAAGCCTTATGCCAGTTCTTTTCTTTTCTTTTTTTTCCTTCTAGAAGTTTTAAGTCAAACATACCGGGCCTGTGCACGTCTCCTTCCCCTCCTGGACCTTACACTCAGGGTGACAGGGCAGACACTCCCCTGACTTAGTAGCAAACTCCCTCTGCTTCCTGCAATCGAGGCATAAACCAAGTTTCTATTCAAGTTCAAAGACTTACAGCAGACATTAGTCACATCTTAGGGCCAATGCTCAGGATTTTCCTTAACAATGTATAGACCTATACACAGTAATCCCTCTTAGTCTTCACTTATAACACACTAGAAGTGGGCAGCAATGCATTTGAATCAGTTATTCAATTTGTCTCCCCTGTTGATTTGTGCACAGAGAGCACGGTGGATACGATTAAGCATGTACTTTATCTGTATTTGCACATAATCCAGCAATGTGGCACTTCAAACAGGGTGCGAGTATTTGTGCTTTAAAATGTAAATTCTGTTTAAAACTATCAGAAAATATCAATTCTCTAAATCACTGCTTGTTTCTTTAATACCACTCCTTCTTGTCATTCACTCTCTAACAACCTGCATACATGTTACACCGTTAAAGCTTTATATTAATAATCGCTTTATACGTCATTTTGTGAATACTGACCCAGTTAAGAACATGCAGTCTGGTACACAGGTTCCTCCCCTGCTGTATTTCTTACAGCTGACACACTGGTCTGGGCCCGGACCCCAGCAGCCATCAGAGGAGCACAGCGGGTGACACACGTGCTTCTCTTTAACTAAGGACGCAACCAAAACAGAAACGATGTTATGAGCAGAGCCATTGTTCACAATCACGTCTTGCAAGTTTTAAATGGTCCGCCCCCACTCACCACATTCATCCTTCTTTTGGTTGTTGGTGATGTCTAAGAGCTTTGAACGTTTCTGTGGACGGGAGCCTAAAAGCCGTGTCCAGTTGACAGTATCATGATAGCAGAGATTCTTGTTTCCTTTAATGTACACGGCACCATCATTTATGTTTTGCAGTGAGCGCAACCCCAGCGAGGTCAGAGAATTGATCTTAACCACCATGAGTGCATAGCTCCTGTAGAACAGCAGGAAGTAAATAAAGGTCAGAAAGTGGATGAAAATGTTCCAATTTTGTTTAAAATACCACAAAATCAAAGTGAATATTGAAAGCCATATTTCTTTTAGGTTTAGCAGTTTTCAAGAACATGATGTCAGACATTATTTTTTAAGGTTTACAAACACAATTAATGCACTTTAGCTGTATTTGCACAAAATCCAGCAGTGTGGCACTTTGTGTTTCTTGTTGTTCTTACTGATCACATTTAATGATGTAATATAATCTTTCACAGTGTGTTTTCTTTGAGAAGTTTGTCACCATCTATTCATTTTGATACCTTTTAGACACAATATGAATTCAGTGATTCGGTGTCTGAATGTCATGTTTTTCAAATTGCATAACCCGTGCACTTAAAAAGACAAACAGCCAACAAACATATTCATGTTTAATCTTCAGTATTTTCATGCATCATGTAGTATGTAGTATGGAAATACTACAACAAAACTGATACTGCGGTATCAATTTTGTAGAATCTACTTTGGTAAATTCTTTAGTTATATGTGAACTCATTAAAGCTGAGAAGGCGGTTTGTTTTTAATGCTTTAGTGCTTTTGGTTTCAGACGGGATTTAAACCCAGGTAAAAGTACTCTGATGTACCCCATCTTGCTTTCCTCTCATTTACTGAAGCTTGAGACCAGCCTGAAAAGAGCTTTTTCTTTGTCAAATTGATGTCAAAAACATGCTGCCTCTCCCAGCTTTAAAAAGTTGTGCCCACGGCCAGCTTAACCAAACAATCCCAGTGCTGAATTATCCCTGAAAAAATCATACTGAAAAATACCAACACCACGGATTCGGACAGAACATTTGTAGGCTCTAAGAGGAGATAGAGAGATGTGAGCATGTGAAATCTTTACTGTACCTTTTACTAATCACTCCTCTAAACAGGATAACAAGATAGGATAAAAATTAGAAATAACAAAGAAAAAAAAAACAAAATTACTTTTATATTCCAGCAAATACTCTGTCTGCATAACAATGCAGAAAAGACAAAAACAAAAAAACTGTTTCTCACTTGTAAAGTTTTCTTCCCTGAATTGTTTGGAGGTTGGAGAAGACTGACAGGTCAGACATGCTTGCAGGCCACGACTGGATGTTGAGGAAGTCTGAAAACAGAGAGATTGTTTTTCAGAAGCCTCAACCAGACTGCAAATGGCATTAAATAACATAAAAAGATAAAAGCAGTCTAAGTGACAGTCTAAAAAAAAAGCACAACCCCACAACATACACACACCTGTAATCTCCTCCACCGTGTTGAAGATTTTCAGTTTTTCTGGATCAAGGGGTGGTACCTTGTTGTAGTCATCACTGAGCCAAAATGAAATAAGTAAGTAAAAGGAAAAGCATGTTGCAAAAACGTCAAAAAAGTGCAGGTTGATCTAGAGAATATTTTTTT